CAGGGACAGGCTGGACGAGGCCTTGAGCAGCCCGGTCTGGTTGAGAGGTGTCCCTGCCCGTGGCAGGGGGCTGGATGATCTCTAAGGTTCCTTCCAACTCAAACTATTCTGTGATCTTATGATTTAGGCGGTTTTGACTGTGTTGTTTCTGAAGTTCATTTGAGGCAAAACATTTACCATATGCATCTGAGTGTGTATTCATGTCAGACTTCAAAAGAGGAATGTCTCCTTCCTGTGTCCTTAAGTGCTGCTGTTTTCACCCTGCAGCAGGGCCTGTGGTGGGTGTGTGTGAAGGGACAGGAGCCCTGTGGAGCACACCTGGACACAGCGACAGGGCAGCCTTCAGGAAACTGGTCTGTGAGAGACCCTCCAGCACAGTTCACTGCTGGGGAATTCCTCTTTCAAAAGAAATTACAGGCAGGGTGTCTCCCTAGGAGGCTAACAGAGGTGACTGCTTTATAACACTTCTCCTTCTATTCAAGTTTATCTTAAGCCTTAACCAAAAATACATCCTGCAATATCTACTTTGTATCATTGGAAAGTTGACTTAATCCTGCATTGCAGCAAAGTGTAATTAACTGGTTCTAACCCTATTATTTGTTTCAGCAGCTCCTAGTGCTGTCTGTGTTTTCACATATCACGTTGTATTTCTGTTTAAAATACTCTGTGCCACTCCAGTTGGATATAAGCAACATTTTGAGTTCAGTGTATCTTTTTACAGCAACTGTTTTATAAATCTTTTTTACTTAGTAGGCACAATGTCAAATAAGGAAGTGAAGGCAGCACTGAAGAGTGCTAGAGAGGCAATACGAAATAAAGACTATAAGGAAGCCTTAAAACATTGCAAGGTAACTATTTTCTTACTTGGAAGGTAATAACTTTTTGTCTGTTTTGTGTGCTGTTCCCATACCCCTACAGCTGCACAGTAATGCAGAGTGTGGAGTAGCTTACAGGTGTCATAGCTGAGACTGATTTTAAAACTTAACTTCATTGATTGTTCACGTTAGCTGGTCACAGGTAAACCTTTATTCCCCTTCCCTCTTGTGTTTGCTTATATGTGGAATAGAAATACTAAGTCTAGAATGACAGACATAACAATCCATTTCTAATCTAGACCTTGACAGGAGTGCTGTGTTTGCTCAGCTACAGATATGGTGACTGGCAGAACAGTTCAGATATGGAGCATTCTCTGTCATGAAAAGCTGAAGTTATTAATTTTCACCTTCTTCTAAAAACTACTTAACTTCTAAAGTTACCATACAGAATAATTAACCAGGCAATAATGATAAAACTCAGTAGGGGGATCTGTAAGATGCGTTTCGTTCATCAGTTTCACCCCAAATTGTGTATTTCTAGGCAGTCTTGAAGCAAGAGAAGAATAACTACAATGCTTGGGTATTTATTGGCTTGTCAGCTGCTGAGCTGGAGCAGCCTGACCACGCCAAAGGAGCCTATATGAAGGCAATTGAACTGGAACCAAACCAGTTACTGGCCTGGCAGGTAAGTGAACATCCAGATTTGGTTTTTCTGTCCTGAAAAGTGTCACTAAGGAGTTCAGCATGAGAGCAAAGCAAAGTTGAGACTTGCATCATGTTTCCTTCAGCCCTTGAGTTGTGCTGAAGCTTCAGTGTAGCTGAGGTTCATATTTTTGTCTAAAGCTGTGGGTGGCTGCATGTGTGTTGCAGGTGAACCTCAGTTTCAGTGTATTTAATTCTGTATTTCTGGTGCAGATTAGATAGTGGTGAAAGATGCAGGGAGAACATGAACTGAAACCTGCAGTAAATCCACTGCTGCTTGGGAATTGCCATAGGTGTAGCTCAGGAAGTGTTTGACAATACTTCTCTCATAGGAGGGAAAACTTTTTCTCTCACAGCTTATTTTTCCAGCTTCCAGCAGAAGGTTGTTACCAAATTTCATTGCTGTTAAAGACAGCAGTGTACATTTAAAATAACTGTGTGGTGTGTGCCAACAAACTCTAACCATCTATAGCTACAGCATCCTGTTGTGTTATTTGGAGACTTGTGAAGCATAAGGTTGTGCATTGAGTCTGTCTCTGGGACTATCAATATTTTTCTGAGGTAGGAAGGTTCGTAGTATCTTCTGTTTAAATGCCTTCTTAAAGTGCAGCTCTTGGTGCCTGATTTCAAGGTGTACTGAGATTTCCTCAGTTTTGCAATCAGGTTCTGTCTGTTACTGTAACAGTTGGAGTTTGGGGTCAGGGCCACCCTGAGAACAGACAACAGACAGTCTCTGTTATCCCCCTTCCCTGGGGAAGAGTCCCAGGCTGGGCTCAGCCACACTGGGACAGGAGCTGGATCCTGTCCCTGGGCTCAGGAGCACAGGGCTCAGATCAAAGGCAGGGTGGATGGAGTCCTTGGATGTGGCCACTGTAGGGGCAGCAAAGGCCAGGAGGGAGGTGGAAGGGGTGACAAGAAGGGACTTGACCCTCGTGATCCTTCAGACAGATTTGGGATGGAATACCCCACTGGGGAATTTTAGGGTCACTTCTCTTGCCCTCTCCTCCCTGCAGGTGCAGCTTTACTTTCTGCCCCCTCTGTGTGGTTCCCAAGCTGCAGCAGTGACCTTGGTCTGTGTCCCAGTCCCTGGCAGTGACTCTGAACATGGAGTGTTACCCCTGATTAAAGCAGGCAGCCTGCAAAATGTCCTGTTAGCTTCAGACAGTGCAGTTAATTAGAAGAGCTTTAGCTGAAAAGTAAAGCCACAGAACACAATTAGCTCTGTTCTATCCCAAACCAGGACACCTACATATAGATCTTTTATCACACAGAACAGAATCATGGCATCACCATGGTTGGGAAGGACCTTCAGGATCATCATGACTTAGTGTGCTTTGTATGTTGCCAGTTATGCAGACAAGATTCTGTCATACATACACAAGCTTCAAATAGTTGTTAGTGTTAATTAAAGCAAGGAAAGCTTTTTATTTAAATCAGTTGGTTCAGAAGGCTGTCCAGAAATGTCAGCATTCATTCTGCTCAGACATTACTGCATTAGTGCTTGACCCCACTGAAAGCAATGGAATAATTTTGTAGGCAGAATCTTCAGTGTTCTCATAACTGTGGACATAAAAATCTGACTTAGTTTTTATATATTTTTGTTTTAAAGGGATTAGCAAATTTCTATGAGAAATCCAACCAACCAGATGTCAAAGGAGACTTGGCAAACGTGTACCAAAAGCTCTTGGAACTCTATGAAAGGTAAAGGATGTTGAATACCACAGTTGAGGTTGAGGTTTCCAGTCCAGTGAATGCCATTGCTGATAGACCAGATGGACCTCTCTCTGTAAAGCCTTGTCACACCAGTGGGTCAGTACTTGTTACTGAGATTGTCTGTGCCTGTAAAAGGCTTCTTGGTCCTGATAGGGAAAAAAAATCTGGAAATAATTGAATGTGAGGTTAGTAGTTTAGAGAATTCTGTTATCCTGTGTCCTCTGTGTAAACTTTAGATGCCTTGAAGCATTTAGCTTTATTAGTTGGTTGTCTTCATTAAAAAATAGTCTCTTCTTTCTCCTCTTAAGATCACAGAATGTATGTCATCTGATTCACACAAATCTATCTCTTGGCTGTCTCTGTAGCTGACTGGAGTGTTCCATTTCTTTCCTTAATTTGTAAATTGTTCAAAAAGAAATGCACAATCCCTTAAAGTAATTTTTTCCCCCCTCTCAGCTACAGCAGCAATGAGTAAAACTTTCAGGAGATGTGTACTATTTATTCTAAATATTTCTTTGGCACCTGAACCTTCCAAGAATTGTCAGAATTTGAGAAATACTACACTATCTTATGGAAAACTTGGCTTATTTGTGTGGGTTTGTCCTCCTTTCTCCTTTCCAGTGATGACAAGCAGAAATGGTGTGAGGTATGTAACAAGCTTGTGGAAATATATCGCCAAGAAAAGAAATACTTAGAGGTAAGCTGAGTACTTCACCTCCTCTCTTCTAACAAGAATTTTCCATCTGATCAGAACTAACTACATTTCATCAAGGAATTCACATTTTTTTGGGGGCCACAGACCTCTTAAGATCTCCACATGCACCACGACCAGGCAAAAACCTGTGTTAAACCATATTCCTTTGTTTTTCACCACGCAGGAATTGAATGCAATCCATTAAACTGACAAAACTTTACAAAGAATTTTAGTATGCAGGCTGAGATGGTGGAACATCATTCCCCTGCCTTATTGCTGGTGCTCAGGTGTGGCCCATAATGCACGTTTACATGCAGTGGTGTGAGTCAGGTGTCCTTTGCCTGGCTTGGCCAGTTCTGGGTGTCTGGTGAGCCCCTCACTGGTGTGCTGATCCCTTCCTAGACAGGTCCTGGTGCTTCTGCCAGAGGCTGAGGTGAAGTTTGCTGCATGCAACGTGAGCTCGTTGCCTGTGGGAGCTCTGGTCAGTTTACCAGGAGGTGGAGCTGTTAAATGCCTGAACTGCCCAAGGGTCACGTTGCCTGTGGTCTCTGTTAGCACCATTACAGGTTGCATGCTCGTGCAGCTATGCTGTTCACTCTCCCTTTACCCTTCAGAAAGGGTCTTTCTCACAAGGTGGAGCATGCTCTCACTCCATATCATCTTCTCTCCTTTCCTCCAAGAAGGAAAACTGAAAAATGTTACCTAACACTTAGCAGCAGGCCCAAGACTACAAGCTCCAAAGCCTCTCTTGTGTACCACTTTCTGAAACTAAATTCAATGCTGATCGTTTGGCATATGAAGTCAGGCTTGCTCCACATGCAACAGGAAACCACAAGTTAAGGCTTCAGGGTCCTGTTTTATCTTTTTCAGTGTTTTTTTCCACACTGGAATTTCAACATGGACTGCTGCAGTTCCTCTGTTTCTGTCTGTAGTGCTGTAGATCCAGCAGGGCTTCCATGTTTTCTCCAGGGTTTATTGGAGGGTTGTTTAGGTCTCTTTTTACTGTGGGTTTCCTCCAGGAACCAGAGTCATACTCTTCATGCTCTTCAATTCCAGTTCATACTCTTCATGTTGCCTCTCTTGTTTACTGTGCCATGGAAGGTTGATAGGTCCCACACAATGCTTTGGGGTTGTTGTGGCTTTAATCAGAAGACAGGTAAATCTGGGTTTTTACTTTAAATGTTCCTCTGTTGCCTGTGCTGGTGTGACAGCAGTTGGAAAGCCTGTGTCAGATCTCCTGCTCTTGAAAGAGTGAGAACATGGTTCTTTGTTCCCCTTGACAGGTGGGTGAAACATGGCAGAGACTAATACAGGTGAAACAGGAACAAGGTGCAGAAAAGACAGAGCTCCATCAGCTGTGGAAGAAGATGATCCAGTTACTGAAGGACAGCACAGAGAACCAGGATAATAAGACTGAGCAGTTGGTAATGTTTCTCAGTCCTACTCCTCTAGATACATAGATATATGCACAGTGCAGCTGGGGTTCAAATGAAGCCTTAAAGCCTTAATGCAAACCTTGTGGCTGCTTGTCTCATGGTAGACTTGTGACTTTTTGTTCAGTGGTACTAAACTGCTCAGGAAAAGGTGGGTGGTTTTACCTTCTGACAAAAACAGTGAGGGTGCAGCAGCCCCAGATGGGTCTTAGGTAGAATAAGGCACCCAAATCCAAGCAGTCATCCTGCAACTCCTTCATTAACTGCCTCCTAAGTGCTGCTGGAGTCCAGGTTTGCACTGTGGTGCAGGGAGTTCTACCTCAGTGAGCAGACTTCTAGCTCCTTGTGTTACAAGAAGCATGTAAGCTTTGACAGTGCAGTGGGTTGACTGTGGCTGGATGCCAGATGCCCTCCAAAATGATTCATCACTCTCCTCAGCTGGACAAGGGAGAGAAAACAGAATGAAAGGTTCATAGTTGAGATAAGGACATGGGGAGATCACTCAGCAATTACCATCATGGGCAAAATGGACTTGACTCAGCAAGATTAATTCAATTTATTGCCAATCAGAAGTCAGAGGAGGGTAAAGAGAAATAAAACTAAATCTGAAAAACACCTTCACCCCATCCCTCCCTTCTTCTGCATTTAAATTTACTCTCAGATTCTCTACCTCCACCCCTGGAGTGGAGCAGGGGAACAGGGAATGGGGGTTTTGGCCAGTTCATCACATGTTGTCTCTGCCACTCCTTCCTCCTCAGGGGCAGGACCCCTCACACTCCTCCCCTGATTCAGCAAGGGGTCCCTCCCATGTGCTGCAGTTCTTCAGAGGCTGCTCCAGTGTGGGTCCAGTGGGGGGGGCCACGGTGCTGCCAGCAAACCGCCACAGGTCCAGGCAGGAGGGTGCTCCACTATGGGCTGTCCACAGGGTCACAGCCTCCTTCAGGCACCCACCAGCTCCAGTGTGGGTCCTGCACGGGCTGCAGGTGGAATCTGCCCCACTGTGACCTCCATGGGGTGCAGGGAGCAGCCTGGCTCACCGTGGTCTTCACCATGGGCTGCAGGGGAACCTGCTCTGGCACCTGAAGCACCTCCCACCTCCTGCTCTGACCTGGTCTCTGCAGAGCTGTTTCCCTCACACAGTCTTGCTCCTCTCTGGTGGAAGCTGCAGGGTTTTTTCTCCCTTCTCAAATGCATCATCCCAGAGGCACTTCCACTGTCTCCAGTGGGTTTGGCCTCAGCCAGCAGTGTGTCCATCCCAGAGCTGGTGGCATTGACACCATCAGACATGGGGGAAGCTTCTGGCAGCTTCTTACAGAAACCAGCCCTGTGGCCCTCCCACTACCAAAACCTTCCCATGCAAACCAAATACAGACATTCTTCAAAAGAAGAAATTCCTCCCCACTTTCCTCTGAGGTAGAAGAGGTGGCTTTGCACTGGTTTTCCACTTTGTCATACTTGGTGCTCATCCTAGAAACAATGTTTTGGTTCAAATTTTCACCTGTAGATTTTAAACTCATTTCTTAGGGGAATGTCAAAGCAAATTGCAACAAATGGAACAATCAGGAATTCTACTGATACTGTGTTCTCTGTGGCCATTATTTTTGTTTTATCTGATTTATTGGTTCCTGCAAGATGAACCTCCTTCAACAGAAAGGGTGGAAATTACTCATCAACAATTTGGTTGACAGCAGTGCTCCAGAAAGGTAGAAATTATAAACTGTAATCATTTCTGGCAGCAGAAAATTCTAATCTGGATCTCTAGTTTTTGAGAAGGCAAATATTTTAACTTAGGAGCTGTTGTAGAAAAGAGGTGCTGAGGCAGCAGGGAACAAGAAGTTTAAGAAAGGGGGAAAAAAAGTAGGAGAAACATCAGGAGTGGATTTGGGATGCAAATCTACAGTTCATTCTGCTGCAGTTGGGAGTAGAGCAGCTGAACCTGGAAGGTTGTGGCACTAAAGACAACGTCCTCTTCAGTGTTTTGCTTGTGACAGGCAGGGGGCAACTTTTTGGTTAGCAGGTGTGTTTGGTAGCCTGCAGCTGTGTTCCCCAACATGTAGGGGGGCAAGAAATAAAAGGATAGATTTCTAGGCTCGAGCAGGGAGCTGGCAGCTAACTGTAGAGGATGGTAACCTTGGTTTTGTGGTATCAGGTCCTTTGAACTGGTATGAGGTATGAAGAAGAATCAGTGGTCTTAACTTTCTGTCTTCCTTGTACCCATCTTACTTTCTGAAGCAGTGTATTGCTGCTTCATCTGGTACTAGGTAGTTAACGTGCTCTGGGACCTGTCTGAGCACTATGTCATGACAAGGAACTTGCTTTATGACTTTCTCCACTCACAGTACAAGTGTAAGCTTCATGAGGAGGATCCAGGTAATGACATGTGATGATCCCCTTCCCTGTGGAGGGGCTGGGGTCATTCCTGTGAGAACTACCTGAGGACCCCAGGGTTGCCCTAGGCTGGAGAACAGGAGGCTGGTGGGTGACCTTGTCACTGCACAGCTTCCTGAGGGAGGTGGTGGGCTCTTGTCCCTGGGGTCCAGGGACAGGGCACGTGGGGATGGCTCCAAGCTGTGCCAGGGGGGGTACCAAGAGGGTGTCCAAGCCCTGGAACAGGCTTCCTGGAGAGGTGGTTGATGCCCCAAGCCTGTTAGTGCTTCAGAGGCCTTGGGACGGTGGCCTTAACAACAGGCTGGAACTTTTGGTCTTTAATAATGTCCTTTGACTTGTAACTTCAACTTCTGGTCAGCCCAGAAGTGGCCAGACAGTTGGACTAGATGATTGCTGTAGGTCCTTTCTAACTGAAGTAGTCTATTTTATGAAGATAACATTTTTCTGAAGTCATTGTTAGTGACACTTCTAATTATTTCTTATTTCAGCTTTTGACTGCATTTGAACATGCACTGAACTCTGCAGACACTGTTCCTGGTGAGGACCACAAAAATCTTTACAAGAACTTTATTGAGTGCTTGTCAAAGGTATGGTTATGCTCATCTCTTCACCAGTGAGCACATTTAATAGTCCACACTTGTTCATTCACACAAATAACTGTTTATTTTTTTCCTTTCAAGTTTCCTCATGAAACAACTAGGCTGGAACAGGCCTGCAATGATATGATAGCTTTGTATCCTACCATCAGTTATCCTTTAGAAGTACTTTGCTTGCACTTTATTCAGTCAGGTGAGTAGGACAGATTTAGACATCTTGGGGCCTTAAGTTACTTCTTTTAACATTAGTTTTGCAACAAGGCTTTTACAAGTTTTGTCCCTTCATGACCCCATACAAGTGTGCTCTTTACTTTTATGTTACATTTCTGCCTGTCTGGAAATCAGAAGTGTTTGGTCCTATGATTTGCTGTGTCCTAGCTCTGTAACTGAGTGGTGATGATAAATTAGAAACAAAATGCTGAGTTAAGCCCAACCTGGACATTGAACAAAGCTGGAGAGAAAGGATACCTTAAATCTGAAAGCAGACTGTCGGGCTAAATGAAGGTTAGAGGAGGGAATGGGAAGTGTTAACCAGTCCTGTGAGGCTGAGGACAGGCTACACTGAGGTTATTCTTGACACAGAACATCTCTCCTGGCAAAAAAACAAACAAATGCATGAAACTTTCTTCAAAAGAATGCCTGCTGAATGGGGAATAACTAGATCTGCTGTTCAGATAAAAAAGAAAAGCAGAATCTCTGAGGAAAAATCCAACAGACCATGGTGTGTTCAATAGCACAGGGATCTGAAAGTATACAGCTGCTGTTTGCAGTAGTTCACTGAACAACATTGTCATAGGACACTTTGTCAGCATTTTAAAAGAAAACTACTACATTTTGGTGTTTATTGTGTAAGGCATCAGAAGTTAACTTTATTTCTTTTTAAAACAAGGAAGGAAAATCAGGCAAAACCCCACTGGTTCATATAAAGAGAAATAACTTCCAGCTTAGGTAGAAGAATGGCTTTTCCAGGTTTGAAAGTAGGCTTCATGGAATCATGGAGACAGAAAACAAGAGAATTTTTCAGTTTGGTTGGAAAGGCTGAAGAGAAATGAGGCCCAGTTCCCATTTCCACATGAGAACGCTTTACATCTTGGAGAAACATGCAGAAACTCATTTGCAAAGGGAAAAGACAATCTCTGTGGCACAGTTCTTGTGTAGTGATGCTCTAACAACATCCCAGCACCCCACAGCCATCCTGGGGCAGGGGGGGAATGGTGCTTAGGTTTGAGTAAGGCTGTTTGTTTATACCTGAGGCATTCCAACCCCATCATAGTCCTTCATGCCCCAAACCTGTGGACTTGTATCTCCAATGTATTGTTGGTCACCTTTACCAAATGCAAACTGAACACAACCCTTATGTCAGGAGTCCACAAATTTCTGAAGAGAACAGGAGTTCAAGCACTGCTGCTGCAGGTCACAACAGTTACTGTAACAGGGATTGCCAAGTAACACTCACAGCTGAACACAAGTGTGAAAATTTGGTACCATCAGCTGGAATTAAGCCAGGACTTTCAGTGATACAGTTTCATAGCAAGGGAGTTTCAGCAGCTTCATCACAAGCCTGGCCTACTCTGCAAGGCTTACTGTGGGTGGAAATTACTTTGATTTCTTTGAGGCAGGTTTTGACATGGGCCTCCAGCTGGGTTTACATGGAAAGCGTTATGAAGGAATTTGGGTTTTGTTAATAAAGGAGGTATACCTGTGGAAATTTAACACAAGTCAGGTTCCAGACTAACAGTTTAATTTGTTTGGGGGCACTGGTTATTTAGATGGCTACTTGTTTTCTGGGTTTAGTTCTGAGGGTGGAGGGTGATAAGTATGTAGTAGTTTGGGAAAAAGTTTAGTAAATATATACATTACTTTGAACTCAAAGGATAAGGGTCCTATTTATGTAAATAAGGTATGCTGTTGCTTTTTTTTTTTTCCTATAACTCTTAAATATTTCATAACTTCAACTTCTGGTCAGCCCAGAAGTTATTAAATGTTTATTTTCCTGAAAGCAGGTACTTTGTCAGAAGAAGCCCTGCACTGTGTTTCTCAGCTTTTGGAGGTGGATGCAAGCAGTGGCCCAGGCATCATAGGTCTTGGTATCAAATGCTTCCAGGAAAAGAAATACAAGGAAGCTGTTAAGAGTCTTACAGAAGGTAAATGTGTAGTATGTGGTGTAATTGCTCTGTAAATGAACACAAGCTAGTTTATGCTGCATGTTTCTGGAATACTGCACTTGCATAGTACTTGGCCAGTTCTAAGACCAGGTAGATCTAAAAATACTCAGCACCTTCTCTGACTGGACTCTGAAATTCTAAAACAATGTAGCTTTAAGTATGACATCTTTAGTATGTTAGCATGATCAACTTTTAACTTCTTTTTAATCTTGACTGTTTTTGGGGAAATACCTCGATGAAGCACTAACTAGAGCAGTGGCAATTAATGAGGGAGTGTGGAATTTATAAAGTTAAAATATAATGTGGCTCTTCTAGTCACTGCCTTTCTGTATCAGAACATGAGTGATTTCCCTTTGAAGAAATCAAAGATTTTAAGACCTCTTTTAACACTTGTATTGGGTGAACACTTGCACTGGATATCTAAAGAGAAATAATGGTGTTTCTTTTTTTACAGTAGCCAGATTTGCTGAAGAGCTGTCTTACTAATCTGTAGTTACCTTGATTGTATGCAAAACTCTTTCAAAATTACTCACAAATGTACTAGTGAGAAAATAGGAGTCTCCACTCTCACTGTGCTGGCCATGGAAAATAGAAAACAGCTTCCTGAGAGAGCTGGGTGGGTAAGCACTGGGGATCTAAGCCATCAAGAGTCAGTGAGGCTGTGCTGACATCTGCTGCATCCCTTCACCCAGGTTTAGAATAAGGTTGTTTCTGAAACTCAATTTCAGAATGTTCTACAGCAGCTTCCAGATGGTGGAATAATATGTCTTGCCCAAAATCTGCAAACTGAAATAAAAACTTTGAGTTGCTTGAGAGGAAGAAGTCTTCCATGGAAAGCAAAATCTTCTGTCTTAAATGCCATTGTATGTTCTCATAAAACATAGAGCTCATTTTTGTCAAAAGAGGCATCTCCCAAATAAATGGATTTATTTATTTTTATGTGTAATGCTCTGCTGGTGAAGGGAGAATGCAAAGGGCAAGGCTCTTGGTATAATGTGTAAATATACAAAGCTTGGAAGTAAAGTCTTTCCCAGTAAGCTAAATGTTTCCATTTTAAGCATAAAATCAAGGCATTATTTAGTAATAATATATATGTATCAGCTTAAATTCAGTTTTGTTAATGAATCTTTAATTATGGCAATTTTATCAGGAAAATTTTAGTGAAACACTTGCCATGTTTGGGTTTTTTTTCCCTTAAATTTCTATAGGCCTTTTCTGGTTTCTGAGAAGAACTTTATAAAGCAGTCTACAGGCTGCTGATGTTCATGTCTGATCCAAGTGAAGGACTTTTTTCTAACAAAAGTGCACCATAGGCCAGTGTTGTCTATTTCTTCACTTTTTGCTCTTTTTTTTAGCTGTATATGTAATGTTATATGCAAAATGAAGCCTACATGCTGCTCAGTTTTTGCATTACTGCGTGGAGGTGTGGATGTCTGAAACAGTTTAAAACAAGACACAAAAAATTTAACTGGTGGTCTTATTATCTGGTTGATAATGTGGTTTTGGTGGCATTATATGACAATACAGCCTCTGCCAGCTACAGCATTTTTGCAGCCCCAAACAACTTCTTAATTGCCTTTTTTCTCTTTTATTAGGTTTGCAGAAGACAAGCCAGTGCCCAGCAGCGTGGTGTTACTTGGCAGAGGCACAGATGAAGATTCACAAGCCCAAGGACACTGTCCTGTCCTGCAAACAAGGTAACTGCTGTCTGGTGGAGAACACAACTGCAGGGGCACAGCTCTTTGTGTGGTCCAGCCAACGTGGCCTTGGTGTGGTAGGGCTGAGCTGGCAGCAGACTCACAGCTTGTGCTGTTGTGCCCTGCTTCTCCTGGTCTGTGACATCTCAGAAGAGCCTCATGCTGCTTACTCTCAGGAGAAGAGGAGGTGCATGACTGAGCAGGGCCAGAAGGATCTGCTGCTCCAGCAGGTGGTTCACCAGCTGCCGAACAGGGGCCAGTGGTCTCTGGAGTGTGTTCAGAAGAGTGTGGCCAGCAGGTTGAGGGAGGTTCTCCTGCCCCCTCTAATCTGCTCTAGTGAGGCCCCCTCTGCAGTCCTGTGTCCAGTTCTGGGCTCCCCAGTTCAAGAAACACAGGGATCTACTGGACAGAGTGTGGTGGAGGCTCTGAAGATGATGCTGAGGGGCCTGGAGCATCTCTGTGCCCAGGACAGGCTGAGAGCCCTGGGGCTGCTGAGCTGGAGGAGAAAAACCTGAGAGGGGATCCAACCAATGTTCATCAAAATCTCAAGGGCAGGAATCTGCAGTGTGTTTGATAAGCTACCTTTGAGTCTTCATAGACCTGTTTTACCTAAACACATATGTTCTGCTTGTCAAGCACACAGAGCTGAGCACAATTGGTGTGATAGGTGCATTTTTTGACACTTGAGATGCAAGTCACTTGAGGTTGTTTACTATCCTCCTCACCAATCTGCCATTATCTCCCTACAAATTGCTGTGAGGTGCCAACCTAAGTATTGACTGAGGAATATAAAGGTGAAATTGCTGAAGTACTAAGGGGTTTGTGTCATTACTTGCTTAAACTGTCTTGGCACCCAATTGCCTGGAGGCAGATAGTGTCACTCTTCACTTTTTTAAAAGTGTTCTAGAAAAGTTCAGGGAAACCACCACCAAGACTGAAATGTTTAGTGCCTGAATTAGTTAAAATTGAAAGAACAGGGTTAGAGAGTTTATGTGGAAAAATTGTTCTAGTGGATAGACACCATGGACTTGTGAAAAATAATGTTATTTTAGAACTCTGTGAAAGAGTTTTCAAGCACATAGGTAAGGGAGATGTGATATAGTCTTTAGGTTTCCAGGTGGTTATTGGTAAGATCTTTTACTAAGGCTGTTACAGAAACTAAGCAGCCTTGGGTTAAGAAGTAGGGTTACAGAATTGACTGGCTTTTGTCAGTTTTAATTAAGTTAAAAGCTAGAGCACCTCTGTTTTCAGGCTGGAAGGAGGCATCCCTGACATTTTCACTGATACCTGTGTCATACATCCTCTTTTCTTGTTGTTTATGAGTGTTGAGCAATAAAGTTATAAAGTGTTGCTGTTCAAAGCAGGCTGCAGAACACTTTAAGAGGGAGTTGTTGTTCAGCCTGGCTCCAGGGAGACCTTCTTGTGGCCTTCCAGTATCTCCAAGGGGCCTACAAGAAAGCTGGGGAGGGACTTTTTACAAGGGCTTGTGACAGGAGAGGGGGCAATGGGTTCTAACTGGAAGAGGGGAGATTTAGATTATAAATTAGGAAGAAGCTCTTCACTGTGAGGGTGCTGAGCCCCTGGCCCAGGCTGCCCAGGGAAGCTGTGGGTGCTCCATCACTGGAGGTGTTCAGGACCAGGCTGGATGGGGCTCTGAGCAGCCTGGTGCAGTGGGAGGTGTCCCTGCCCATGGCAGGGGG